TGGCAGGACATCCAGAACGACCCGCGCTACGTGATCCTCAACGAGCCGTTCAAGTCGGAGATACACAAGGGGAACTACCTCGAGATGAAGAACAAGTTCCTTGCCCGGCGGTTCAAGGCGAGTTGCAGGTCCAGGGCTGGTGAGTCCTTACCGACGGGGGGGACCAGAGCAGCACCCCAAAGCTGAGGGGAGCCCGCCCGTGCCTGCTGGGAGCAGAGCGGGGAGTGGCCGTGGGCTTTGCGAGGGGCTTGTGGTCGCCGGAGGAGAGCGGGCTCCCAGCAGCCAGGGCGTGATCCTGGGGAGCTGGCAGGCTCTGCGGCGCGGTGCGTGGGACGGGGCTGCCTGCCCCGGGCTCCTCTCTGAGTGGGCTCGGCGGGTGCTCTGCCTGCTCCCGACACGTGCGAGGCTGTGGAAATGCTGCCCAGATCCCTTTCTGGGACGCTCGGTGTCTGAGCGGGTTAAGAAGAGAGAAGGGCTAAGCCTGTTCCCCCAGGGGTTCTTGGGAGCGAGCCCAGTGGGGAGCCCAGCAGGGCAGGGGCTCTGCTGGCACAAGCCCCGTGGGCAGCTGGAGCCTGTGCAGTGGTACTGGTTTATGCTGGTGTGGGCTCTGGTGCTGAATCCTTCCCCTCCTGTACCTCCCAGTTGCTGGAGCAGGCCCTGGTGATCGAGGAGCAGCTGCGGCGGGCTGCGTACCTCAACATGACCCAAGACCCCAGTCACCCGGCCATGGCCTTGAACGCCCGTCTGGCTGAAGTGGAGTGCCTTGCCGAGAGCCACCAGCATCTCTCGAAAGAGTCCCTGGCGGGGAACAAGCCTGCGAATGCCGTCCTGCACAAGGGTGCGTGCGGGCAGACGGGGCGGCAGCGGGGCCCCGGGCCGACAGGGATGGGGATGGGGACGGGGACGGGAATGGGAATGGGGACGGGGACAGGAATGGGGACGGGAATGGAGACGGGGACAGGGATGGGGATGGGGACGGGGACGGGAATGGGAATGGGGACGGGGACAGGAATGGGGACGGGAATGGAGACGGGGACAGGGATGGGGATGGGGACGGGGACGGGAATGGGAATGGGGACGGGGACAGGAATGGGGACGGGAATGGAGACGGGGACAGGGATGGGGATGGGGACGGGGACGGGAATGGGAATGGGGACGGGGACAGGAATGGGGACGGGAATGGAGACGGGGACAGGGATGGGGATGGGGACGGGGACGGGAATGGGAATGGGGACGGGGACAGGAATGGGGACGGGAATGGAGACGGGGACAGGGATGGGGATGGGGACGGGGACGGGAATGGGAATGGGAATGGGGACGGGGACAGGAATGGGGACGGGAATGGAGACGGGGACAGGGATGGGGATGGGGACGGGGACGGGAATGGGGACGGGAATGGAGACGGGGACAGGGATGGGAATGGGAATGGGGATGGGAATGGGGACGGGAATGGAGATGGGGACAGGGATGGGAATGGGGATGGGAATGGGGACAGGGACAGAGCCCCGCAGTGGGGCTGGGGCTGCAGGTCAGCTCTTCTCCCTCCTTGCCCCCCCAGGGCTCCTTCGGCTCATCCCAGATCTACAGCAACAGCTTCGGGCCGAACTTCCGAGGTCCCGGGCCGGGCGGGATCGTCAACTACAGCCAGATGCCTCTGGGACCCTACGTGACCGGTACGTGGGGCTCTCGGGCGGGCGCTCCCGGGCAGAGGGGTTCGGGGGGGGATTTGCGTGGGCCGGGAGCAGTCCCAAGGGCAATGGGCGAGCCAGGCCTTTCCTCTCTCGTCGCAGATATTTAGCCGTTCCCACCGGTCTCCTCCGCAGCTCCCGTTGCCGGCTGAGGTAAGGCTGCGCTCGCTGCCT